CTTTTAAAGATTTTAATAATGACACAGCCATAAATATATTTGGTTTTTAATTGGTTTTATAGGGGAAATGTTTTTGTGTTGTTTTTTAATATGCTGTGAGCCGCCCTGAGTCCCGTGGGGAGAAGGGCGGCATAGAAGTTGGAAAAATAAATAAAATAAATAAATAAATTTGTTTAATGAACATGGCAGTTGTTTAATTCGTAACATTGGGTTTCTCACATGGCTGATTGGATTTATGACCATCACGACTTACAACCATGACGAGCAGTCGCCATTATGGTTGTAAGTCAAAGACTATTTGTAACCTTGTCTTTCTCTTTCTCTCTCCTCAGAAAGAATATTTGCTCCTGGACTATAAAGTATCAATGCCGTTCAGTCTGAAACAGGTACAATTTTTACCACAGCCTTTACATCAGGGGTGGGGGAACTATGATATGTGAACTATGATCTGTGAACTTCAACTCCCAGAATTCCTGAGCTAGCTTTTTCTTATTTTTTTTTTTATTAATATGCTGGCTCAGGAACTCTGGGAATGAAGTTCACAGATAGTAAAAGGACCATAGTTCCCCACCCCTGCTTTACATAAATGCTATTGCCTTTCCATGAACATCAACAACATTGCTGTTGTTGGTTTGGCAAAAACGTATATTGTACATTGATCATTCTACTATTGTATATTGATCGTTCTACTATTCATGAAAATAGCCAAACCTCTTTCATGAAACTGCCCGTGGCACATTGCTAAAGATGACAGGTCAACTCCCAACAAATTTCCTGCCATGTAACTTGAGAATATAGCCTGATGTTGAAATAAGACTCTTGTATCTGTCAATATTTTGTAGGAGGAGGGAAGTTCAAAGCTGGGGCAGTTCAATTTGGAAATGCTTTGGAGGTTTTTTTAAAAAAGAAAAATAATATGCCTGTTTTAGGCATCTGACATGCTAATGGTGCAGTTTTGATATTTTCCTGTGTTAAAATGGCCCAAAATTGCTGTCTTTGATTAGCAGTCATGGTTAAAAAAGCTTCAAAGATTGTAGAAAGCAGACTTCGGGTGCATGTGTATGTGCCCCTGCACACACGCGTGCAGGAGTTTATGATCACAGGTTGCCCATCCCAAGCTACTGTTTTGCTCTTGAGTTTGCTTCTGGCATAATTTTAGGCTGTTTGGTTATATGTATGTTGCCAAGGTGCCTTTTTAGAACAGAGTCCTAAAGGAAGGCCATTGTTTTATTGAGGAAGGTGGCCTGTTGGAGTCTTCAATCAATTTCACACAGAGAAGACTTAATTCAGTGGCAAAGAACATGTCTTGAAAAGCCATTCTTGCAATTGTTTTGGGCTACCATCCCAAAATTCCTTGTGGATGTCCATAACAGGGTGATAGGAACTAAAGTCTGCAAGGGTCCTTAGCATCCTTTGCATATTCATTGAAGGCTCCTGGTTCAATCTTTGGCCTGTCCAGCCACATCTGGGAAAGTTTTGTCTCAAATAACTGAAAAGCTACTGCTGGTGACTCTTGATCAGCCTTGTCGAGCCTTCCAACTACTCTGTTTCCCTGAAAGTAAGGCCTACCCTGAAAATAAGCCCTAGCTTGATTTTGGGAGGTTGGCCTAATGTAAGCCCTACCCCAAAAATAAGCCCTAGTTTTAGGGTGAGGCACACACTTAAAAATCAAGCTAGGGTGGGGGTCGGGGTCTGCCCCATGCGCCCCGCACCTACTTACTTTGCAGCCAGGCCTCTCCTCGCTGGCCCACTTCTTCTGAGGCATCTTCTGCAGCCAGGCCTGCATTTCTCAGTCAGGCCTGCATTTCTGGAAAGGCCACTGCAACTGAGAACCGAGCTGTGGATTGAATCCATAGCTCGGTACTTGGCTGCAGAGGCCTTCCGGAAAGGTCTGACTGTGAAATGCAGGCCAGAATGCAGCTGCAGAATGCAGCTGCTCCTTCGGCTGGAGAAGAAGTGGACCTGCTAGGCAGGGCTGTCGATGCAGGAGGTGAGTAAAAAAGACACCCCCCACAAAAAATAAGACCTGGTGCCTCTTTTGGAGGCAAAAAAAAATAAGACCCAGTATTATTTTCAGGGAGACACGGTTATGTAGAAAATGCTCCCGAACTGACTGGAAAATCATGTCTTCTGGTTAAGAACCAGTGCTAATGTACCAGAATGTTCCATACAGTCAACTTTTTCCCTTAAGTGAGCATGGAATTACAGACCTCACTTTATGATAGGCCTCTGGATATAGGGTTTTAACATGATTTTCATCTCCCCTCTTGGATTCTGACTGAGTAAAAAATATGTTCTTGGTGGCTACCAGATTTGTGTTGCAATAATATACAGTAGAGAACCACTAGATGGCAGCAGTGAATCCAGATTTTCTGTGTCTCTGTTCCCATCTAGAGGTGATCCAAAGATTTGCAACCCAAGTGTGGTAGCCTTGGTTTATAATGAGGGTATAATCTTTTTTCTTCTTTTTGGTCTCATGTTTTCTCTGCATCCCATTTCCATTTATATTCTCCAGGACATATTCTGCAGTGAGTTATGGAATCTTCATTTCATCAATGAAAACTTAAAGAAATTAATCAACGTGTCTGGAGAAAGACTGAAAAAGTTAATCAAGAAGATATATAATCACACAAAAGTTGTTGAATCTTGTAATATTGAAGTAGTAAGTTGAAGAACTTTGTTTAGAGTGCTTCAGAATACAACACAAATCATTCCTATTTTATTCACAGTTTAACCCAGCTTGTCTTGTCCTAATAGCTTAAAACAGACTGCCATCAAAATTTCTATTTTGGGGGGGAGGAAAATCAGTATTAATTTAGATCTGAACTAAGCAAAGAGGAAAGACTTAAATTAATCCAGGGCTCTAACAGTGCTAAATGACGAAATCCTTATGAATATTTCTGGAAAAGGCTGAACTGAAATTTTTTTGCCTCCAATGTTGAAACAGGAAATCTGAAGCTGGCAGTATGGGTGGATGTTTTAGCAAAAATGTGATAAAATGCAATCACATGACTGTGGTTTTTTGCAAACAGCTGTAAATGGCTGGTTGCTAAGGATCCCAATATGTGGTCACATGATTGTGAGGGATGGGGACTGGCTGATGTAACTTCAGAACTGGGTCATAAGTATTGGGGGAGGGTTCGTCGTAACTAGTCAGAATTGGTGGATTACCTGTATATTAGTGTGTATTAGTTTTTAATCTTCCTTTTTAAAAAAATCTTTAATACAAATTATATATAATAAATGACCATGAAGGGAATTGCCTCACATGACACATCAAAGGCACAAAAAAATGTACATACTCCTTGCGTGACAGGAACAGTTGTATCTACCCATGGTCACGAAGGGTCAACACCAGTTTGACCACTTTTAATCAAAATGAGGGAAAGAGGAACTTTTTTTTACCCTATTTTTGGGCTGGGAGACAATGGAAAAGAATCTGAATTTATTTAAGTTCTTCACTTTTTTTCTGGCTGAAAAAGAAATTCCTCCCTTCCTTACAGGTCATCCTTGACTTACAACCACATTGGAGCCCAAAATTTCTCTTGCTAAGCAAGACAGTTAAGTTGAATTAGTTGTGCCCCATTTTACAACCTTTTATGCCACCCTTGTTAAGTGAATCACTACAGATGTTAAGTGCATTGTGTGGTTGTTAAGAGAACCTGGCTTCCCCCACTGGCTTTGCCTGTCAGAGGGCAGCTGGGTGACAAACAGATGGTGATCACATGATCCTGGATGGTGCAATTGTCATAAACTGTCATAAGTGTGAAACAGTCATAAGTCATTTTTTTCAGTGCCATTGTAACATCGAATGGTCACTAAACGAATGGTTGTAAGTCTAGGACAACCTATATTTGTTATGCCTGTTTCTACAAGTGGGTTCATTTCATTTTGAAGCAAAAGCTGCTGAGCATTTCCAATCTGAATCAACCCTAACCCCACTGTGTAGTGTACAATTGGAGGGGATCTTTGAGGTCATCTAGTCCAAAATGATCAATATTTGCGATAAATAGCATCAGCAGGATAAAGGGGGTCTTTTATCTGGAAGTTGCCATCAAGCCCACACCCTACAGTGTGTGTTGTTGTTTGTTTCTATTTTTTAAAGAATTTTATTAAGTTTCAAATATAAAAAAAACTAAAATAAAATGTTGCAGCGAAAAGGCAAAAGTGGGGAAGAGACAAAAGGGAAAATTTTAAAAGTAACATAAAAATCCCCACCAAAAATAACATAGGAAAAAAAGTTACTTCTAACTCCCTTCAGTTCAGATAAAGTTGTAAGATAAAACAAGATAACTTATTTCAGTTTAACAAAGAGATACAAAACTAAAATATAAAAGATATACATATCCAACAATCAAATAATCACAATACTCGCTTAGTCTAAATGAGTGGCATGGGGCCCCAGAGATCAAGACGTTCACCTCCCAATCGGAAGGTTCAGAATTCAATCCTAGGAAGTGACAGATGTTTATCAGGGAACAAAGAGAAAATATTTGCTGCGAACTCTGTGTAGGCGTCAGGAAGGGCATCTGGCCAGTAAATGCTCAGTGCCATTGAGTCACTCAGACTCCACTCTGAATAAAGGGATTGTAAAACTCTCTTAGTTTAAATAAAACATATAGCCTATAAATGCATCATAATATCAATTTCACAAATACACATAGTATTATTAGTTATTTTAAAAGCAAATATCTATAATAATACATCCTTTACTTCAGTGTTTCTCAATCTTTTCTTTACCACGGACCCCCTTTAAATATCTTTTGAGGCCACAGACTATGGCAACGGGCCCCCAAGACTTAACTCAAGATTTAAATGGGGACATTTCTTCAAGCCTTTGTAGACCCCCTGTGATGATATTGCAGCCCCCAGGGGTCTGCAGACCACAGGTTGGGAACCACTGCTTTATTGCAAATGTAAATAAATGCACTAAAAGCCCCAATAAAATGTACAACTATTAAACTCCAGCAGCACAAATTTCTATAATAATCAAAACATATCTAATCAAAATCAAGACTTCATTTTTATCTTTATCAGGCAAAAAATCTCAAAGCATCATCATGTAGAAAGAAAAACAGTCTAATTTTTATCTTTAATCAAAGCAGTCACTTTTGCCATCTCAGCCAGTTCATATTGTTGTGTGTGTGGTTTTTTTCCCCCTCAAAATAAACTTCAAAAGATGTAAAAGCACAAATAATGCTGTCTGAACTTTGGCACTGATTTCTGAAGCATGAAGTAGTAACTACACCTGTTGTACTGGCATGAGCAAGCTGCAGTTAATGCTCTGTGGTGTTGTTTTTTTGTTCTTTTTCAGGATAATAGTTCTGTCAGCTTTGCATTGACAAATATCTCTCAGTTTGTAGATGTCATTCCTTTCCACCTTCAGTCTTTATCAGCGAAAATAGAGAAGATTACATCAGAAGAAAAGTGTGCTGATTTTAAGAACTGCACCGTTATTCAGAGCCAAATAGGTAACATTTTTGAGTGATGGGAAAGGGGTGAGGAGACAAAGCTTTGACCATGTTCCCACGTGAGCCTAACCATGGTTCATTCAAAAATTTTATCTGCTGTGTCCAGTGTCCCATTCGATTCGTCCCCAGACGAATAAGTGTTAAAATAACGTTTTCCCCCTTGTCCCTCCATCATCCAAGGACAGGCTAATGGTGTGTCATATCTATAAGGCTTTGTCCCTAATTGCCATGAAGGGAAATGGGGTAACTAGCAGAGAAAGGACACAGAAAATGGCATCACTAAAGTCAGGATAGGGATCTGCGATGTTTTCCACACAGGATTGTTTTTTGCCAGTTCAATAATGGCATAGTGGGGTTACAGGAGAGAGCACCATGTGACATACCAGTGGGGAAAGGCCCTCGGTACGTGTTAATCTTCAGAAGATAATGTTCCCACAATGGAATATGGCAGAGTTCCCCAACGTTTCCAGCTTTGCGGACCGGCGGGATGGGTGGGAGAGAGGATGGTTCCAGTGGTGGGATTCAAATAATTTAATTGGTTCTCTGCCTTAATGACCATTTTAAGTATAAAAAAAACGGAATACCGAAACTAGAGAGATGAAGCATCTATTCCTGAAATTACCTCAGAGAAGCACCACCTAGTTTTTGCCTGAGTGACATGATCGAAGGCGCCGCATCTCCATTTGGTTTCCGTCGCTCCTTTCTTGGACATTTGTGGAGGGTTTTTTTTCCTGCCTGGAAGGAAGTTGAACGAAAACCAGACGTGTTCCGGAAAACACAGATTTATCATAACCGGTTCGCCAAACTCAACAAAAAAATTAGGTATCGGTTCTTCCGAACCGGTGTGAACCGACTGAATCCCACCACTGGACGATTCCACACAAGCGGCTAGCAAGCGTGTGTTTATGTGTGCAGCTCCATTTGCATGAGTAATGTGCATAAGCGCCTGACACTCCCTTAAATGGAGAGCACAAATGCGCACTTACCTGCTGCTCGCCGGCCGTTTCCATGGCTGGTTGCAGCCCCATCATGGCCCACTATTGGGCTGTGGCCCACAGGTTGGAGACTCTTGGAACATAGTCTACCATGTCAGCCTGCCCCAACCTGGTGCCCTCTGGACTTTAAATCCGACATTGATTGGGGCCAGATTATGTACAACATCTCAAGAATTCATCTCAACATCTCAGTACAGATAGTCCTCGACTTACGATCACAATTGAGCCCAAAATTTATGTTGCTAAGTGAAACATTTGTTAAGTGAATTTTGCCCCATTTTACGACTTTTTGACACAGTTGTTAAGTGAATCATTACAGTTGTTAGTAACATTGTTATTAAGTGAATCTGGCTTCCCCGTTGCTTGTCAGAAGGTCACAAAGCTGATCACATGACCCCAGGACACTTCAACTGTCATAAATATGAACCAGTCGCCAAAGCATCCTAATTTTGATCACGTGACCAAGGGGATGCTGCAACAGTCATTTAGTATGAAAAACGGTCATAAGTCACTTTTTTCAATACTGTTGTAACTTTGAATGGTCACTAAATGAACTGTTGTAAGTCGAGGACTATCTGTATCCTGTTCCTTAGTGGCTACAGTCACAGCATCCCTGCAGATGACACTCACAAAGTACCATTTTGAAGCACCATGAAAACTTCATTGTCCTAAAGATAGCTGTGGATTCTCTTGGCATGGGTCAGGCCCAAATGCAACAAAGACACATGGGGACTCCTTCAAGTCATACTCTATATTGTTTCATATCTTGGACAAAACCTTGTCAGACTGAGGATTCTACAATCTGCATCTACAATATACTCTGTGAACTATTAAAGAGGGACTGTCTTCTCTCACACATGATATTTGGGCTAAGCTGCCTCTTAACTCTTCTGGAACGCAGCCTCTCCCTCGTGAGGGAGCCATCTCCTCATTACTTTACATCACATATGATTTTGCAATATTGGAAATGGCAGCTCACAGATGCTACCAAAATTGCCAAAGAGAAGATTGATACCAAACTGGATGGAAGGCCTTTCCAATTTGGAGCAGGCCCTAATTATAGTAATATTCTGTAGCTGACCTGGAATTCTGTATCTCTGATTCAGTCATTGTGAACTTCACAGGCTGTACTTAGTTCCAGCTGTTCTTCTGGGACACGCTTTAATCTCTCTTTCTATCCCGCCCTTTTATCTTGTGCTTCTTAAGGCACAGCTATGTTTTTCTTAACTCACTCTGATTTCTACAGGAAGTAGAGACTCTAATAATTCTCAGCAACTATACTAAAATTCTTATTTCTTTTTGTAAATGATTTGTTTGTTAATCTTATCAAGGAATGTCACCACCACAATCACGCAGCTGGCAAGGAAAAATGTCAGCAAGGAGCAACAACTAGTATCCAAGCTTTAAAATCAGAAAAACAACGTTAAACCTTCCAAATCTGTTCATAGTTGGATACCATGGAATAAAGAATGCCTGGGATACATTGAAATCCTTTGAGGAAGAAGTCCATAATTTATCTCAAGTTGCCACCACCCAAACTCTTTTATTAACCGGATATAAAAGAGGGATTTCTCCATGATAATTTAACAATGTAGAAACAGTAAACAGTTACAATTAGATATGCTACATTACTTCTCTATCCCTTTTTACAAGACCCATTGCAGTGTCACATATCTTCAGGCAGGTCAACCAGTAGAACGTGTGGTGCAAAATGTGACTCATTGGGTAATTTATATAATGAATAAGAATAAGCTAAAATGCTGGGCAGTTTGTGGGTCAGCACATCGGGGAAGCCCAGCTGTTGTCTTAGCCCCATGTTTCTCAACCTTTGTGACTTTCAGAGGTATGGATTTCAACTCCCAGAATTCTCTTGCTGGCTGGGGAATTCTGGGAACTGAAGTCCACACCTCTGAATATCACCAAGGTTGAGAAACACTGCGTTAGCATGTTTTGGGAGTACTACCATCATGTTAAAGCCATAATATGATTGATTGATTCTGGCATGGCAATGTAGCCAATAAGTTTTATGAACGGGTTGAAAATTTAGCATGTGTATGTACCCAGCCATTGTGTCTTTCCTCTGAATATCATTTACTCTCTGCTCCACCCTCCCCACCCCTTTGTTACCAGCTGGCATTTAATCTGCCCCTATAGGTCAGTCTCTCTCTGTACTACAGAATCTTCTAAGTTACCCATCAACACTTCTGATTGGAAGCTAGAGAAGAAACAGTCATCTCAGCCAATCTCCCACAAAAGAACTTACTGGTGGTTACTTCTTCCAGCTATCTTGGTCTGTCTTATCTTCAGTTTATCGAAAAAATGCCAGGTAAACTCTTAATAAGAAACAATTTCGGGTAAAAATGCAACACAACAGCTACATGTGAAACAGCCTGAGACTCTACCTCTACAGAACAGATATTGTCATGGAAAGATTTGGATAAAGAGATAGAACATGGGTGTCAAACTTGATAGATGTGATGTATCGTACTGTACCACAATGTTTTTTGCCTTCGCGGAGCTGGGGTGGGGCGTAGTCTGTGCGTGATGCATCCAGCCCGCAGGCCATCAGTTTGACACCCCTAAGATAGAATCAGGTCTATAGATGATATTTAATTGGATGGATTCCTGATCCCCCAGAAGACAGAAATAAAATTCTCAAATGTTCTTTGAGAGAGTGGAGCTATGGACTACAAGTAACAGAATGAACTTTATTAGAGATACATACAAATTTCCTCACTCAGGAAACATAATTCACATATAGGGGATTGATAATTGTATTTGTGCAAAAGATCTTGGAATAATAGCTTATTGCAAAGTGAATATGGGTCCATACTGTCATACAGCAGCAAAGAAGGCAGATTCGGTTTTAGACTGTATCAAAAGTACCATTTCCAAAATAGAGAGCATTATTCCTTTCTTGCAATGAACCACATACTATCTTTCTACTGCATTAACATATCTTGATATTTGCCTGTTTCCCCATCCCTTACAAACATACATACATTTACAGCATTTGCTTCCTCTACATTTTTACCATATGTGCATAATACATAAATATTAGAGATAACTGTAATTTGAGAAGCCTCCCCCTTTCAGGCATTTCATAACTCTGTTAAAACAACACAATTCAACCTTGCTTTAACTAGGATTGACTATATATGGTGTCCATGTGGAGGAATTCTATTAATTGCACATACAGTATTCTTTTGTTTTTATTCTGCATTTTTACTCTGTTAGAGGGTGACCCGAAGCTTGCCAATTGGGGGAGGTTATAAAAACAGTGAACTAAACTGGATTGCAGCAGAATATAACTAAAAACCATCATAATCCTCTTGTTTGCTTCATTTTCCCTGCCAAATACAAAACAGTGAAGACAAAGGATGTGTTCTAAGTTATCGGTTTCCTTCTTAGGCATTTAATTGGGTATTTTAAATGGTACATAAATAGGGCTTATCTCTATGGCTGATGTGGTTGAATGGCAAGCTTCCAAGATATCCCTTGCATTTTTAAAAGATATCTCCTCCAAAGCCAGATAAGCAGCAGCAGATAAATAATTAGATAGGAAATAATATTCTAATCAAAGATCAAGGAAGAAGCCACACCCCCATAATATCCATACATAAATGGATATTAGCCCATTAACTAGTGAAGTAGTCCTCCATTTATGTCCACAATTGGGGCCAAACGTACTATCGCTAAGCAAGGTGGCTCTTAAGTGAGTTGTGCCCAATTTTATGATTTTTTTGCCACAGTTGCAAAGTGAATCATGCAGTCATTAAGTGAATCCGTGATTGACTTTGCTTGTCAAAAGCCAGCTGGAAAGGTTGCAAATGACGGATCAGATGACCCCGGGTGGCTACTGCCTGAATTTTAATCATGTGACCATGGAGATGCTGCAGTGGTCCTGAGGATCAGTCATAAGTCATTTTTTTTCCTTGTTGTTGTGACTTAAGATGCTAAATAAATGGTTGTAAGTCAAGGACTACCTATATATTTATAATGCTCCATATCTTGCATTTGACTAAGCCAGGGGTAGGCAACCTTGGCTCCTTTATGACTCGTGGACCTCAACTCCCAGAATTCCTGAGCCAGCATGGCTGGCTCAGGAATTCTGGGAGTTGAAGTCCACAAGTCATAAAAGAGCCAAGGTTGCCTACCCCTGGACTAAGCAATCTCATGAGCGAATATCCCTCCATAGGAAATTAAATTATGATGCTCCTCAAAATTTAATACATCAGAAAAAACACTAGACATGTTGTGTGCTTTTTCTCTAAGAAAAGCAAAAGGTGTGGGGGGGGGGGTTGTTTAGAAAAGCGGGAAAAATCTGGGCTTAAAAGTCATAGAATCAAGTCAGCCAGAACTCTCCTGGCTGACATTTTATCCAGGTGCAGAGAATATGAGACCTCTCCTGCCTCTTACTAATGCTGTGGATCCATGTTTCTCAACCTTAGCAACTTTTAAGATGTGTGAGCTTCAACTCCCAGAATATCTGGGAGGAATTCTGGGAGTTGAGATCCACACATCTTAAAGTTGCTAAGGTTGAGAAACACTGCTGTAGCTATGTGCCTGACAGATTGTATCTGCCCCACGTTTTCTTCTCCTCCATACATTTTCTCTTTCTTGTTTTTTTATCTTTTCAGTGGTCCTCTTCAAGTGCAATTTAAAAGTACCACCTCCCCGCGGCATGGGATCTAACCTCAACATCACAACATCTTAGAGCCTGCTCTATCCCACTCCTAGCCTTTATCTTGAAGGACTAACCTGGCACCATCTGTCAGAGGGGGCGCTGCCAAGAAGGATATCAGTTCTGACTCCCACCCCTTGGTAGATGCTTGCATCTTTCTTTTTTGTAATGTATAGATGGTCCTCAACGTACGACTGCAATTGGGACCAGAATTTCTGTTGCTAAGGAAGATGGATGTTAAGTGAATTGTGCCTGATTTTACATTCTTTTTTTTTGCCATGGTTGTTAAGCAAATTACTGTTCTTAAGTGAGTCATGCAGTTGTTAAGCAAATCCAGCTTCCCCCATTAACTTGCATGCCAAAAGCCAGCTGGAAAGGTTACCAATGGTGACTGCATGCTGCACCCATCTTAAATACATATTTGTTGCCAAGCACCTAAATCTTGATCTCGTGACCATGGGGATGCTGCGATGGACTTAAGTGCAAGAATTGGTTGTAAGACTTTCAGTGCCGTTGTAACTTTGAATGGTTGTTAAACGAATGGTTTTAATTTGTGCTTACGCATATGTGCTGTATGTGCTTACGTAAAAAGGAGAGACAGAGAGATGGTTAATACATAAGTTTTTTTATTTTGTATAAATAAAAGCAAATATTTAGTAACCACATGAATGTTCCACAAAGAGGAACTTTCTGGTGCATTTTTATTTAATGTGAGCAGCTAACATGTATTGGTCTCTTATCAGAATCAAGCAATAGACAGCCTCTCTAGAATCATCTGTGGACAGCAAAGTCCAGCCTCTGAGACTTTCACATGTGTGGACTTCTCACCTTCATTAACTTAATGTTAATGTATGGACTTCAACTCCCAGAATTCCTCAGCTAGTAGGGAATTCTGGGAGTTGACGTCCATACATCTTAATGTTGCTGAGGTTGAGAAACACACTCTGACGTAACATCTTTAGGCAGCTCGGGATTCCCTGACTCATGCTAATATGCACATCTTGAAGGGCACTAGAGCTATTTGCTTTGGACTAGACCAGGGGTACGAAGCAGCTTGGAAACCTCTCCCTTTCCCCCCCTCAGCATGGCTGGCTCAGGAATTCTGGGAGTTGAAGTCCACGAGTCATAAAAGAGCCAAGGTTGTCTACTCCTGGACTAGACAATTCAAACCAGATAGGACAGTGATGGCGAACCTTTTAGAGACCGAGTGCCCAAACTGCAACCCAAAACCCACTTATGCATCGTCGGGTGCTGGGTGGGTGTGGCCCATTGGCTGGGTGTGGCCCATTGGGTGGGCGTGGCTGCGGTGGGAACGGCAGACTGGGACTAAAAAGTTCAATCAATCAATTCCAACTTTGCAAGATCTTTTTTTTCCCGCGAGAAGTTGAAATTAACTGATTGACTGAACCTTTTTGTTTTGTACATGGTGGCAGAGGCCTAAAGCGAAAAGGTTTTATAAAACCCAGCTGAAGGCCTAGGACTGGGGCGATGGCGCGCGTGCCCACAGAGAGGGCTCTGAGTGCCGCCTCTGGCACCCGTGCCATAGGTTCGCCACCACTGAGATAGGAGAAAAGTCAGAGTTTGTGTATCATTGTACTGTCACCTAGTGATCACTCAGAATGCGCAGCCCAGATCTGGTAGCCGTGTTCATCTCACTGCTGACCACTTTTTATAAAGAAGGTGAAAGGATGGTGAAGGATAACAAAAACAATAATAAATAAATACATTTGCAAATCATGGACACAGGACACTGCAAAACACCATAAATATGGGTTGGTTGCCAAGCACCCAAAAGGAGATCACTTGACTGGAGGGGGGGAGCAGCTTTCAGAATTTTGAATCTGAGTATCTTTTTTTTGGGATCCATTGGAACTGATCGCTAAGCGACCAGTCATAAGTGGAGGACTTCCTACAGTTACAAAATGCCTTTTAAATGCAATTCCTAGTTAAGGAAGAAGCACTTGTATCCATCAGAAATGCATTCCTACAAGGTGATTAATATGTGTCATAATGTTGATGTCAACTCTTAGCAATCACATAGATAGATTTTCTTCCTGATGATCAGTCCCTAATTTGGTCCTTCAGACTTTCCAGTAGTTCTCCCATCACCATTGTACCCAAGTCCACCCACCTTGCTGCTGGTCGCCCTTTTCTCTTTTCTTCCATCCTAAAAGTTATCCATGTTGATATTCATTATAATTTCCATGGAAAAGGAAATTTGATTCCAGTCATTCATTCATCATAATTTAAAGAGCCTTTTCCTTCGGGAGAACCAGGGCTTTTTTTGTCATAGAACGCCCAGAACGGAGTTCCGGCACCTTTTTTGGATGGAACCTTGTAGGGTAGGCAAGGCGGGTTGTATAACGTGTGTGAGTTCCGGCACCTTTATTTTATTTTATTTTTTAGAAAAAAAGCACTGGGGAGAACAACCTCCAACTGAAATTCCCTATAGCAAAAAACTGTCCAATTTTCCATGGCAGAAAGACCACAGATTAAACCTGAGCTCTATCTTTCTTCACCTCAAGACGTACTGCTGGAAAAAGCTTTCCTGTTTATTCCTGCCAATTTGGTACAATGACTCATTCATTTTCTGTCCCAAGTCTTCATCCATATAATTAATGTCAGATAACAACTAGAATTTGGATTTTCTCAACCACAGTTGATTTGGCTGTGGTTGAAAGTTGTTCTGAATAAATTTTAGGAATGTCTAGAAAATTGAGTGATGGAGTTATCTAATAAGCTCTTTGATAGAAAATCATCTCCTTTCTCAGCTTGTTTCCCAGTCTACCTCTGTAATGATATGTATGAATGACCTTGAGAGCCACACTCTACATAGTGGTCTGATAGACAAATCTGAATCTAAAGGAGGGATTGGGTTGGAGAAAGCATCTCAGATGCTCCCTAGTTTTGGGGAAAATAAAAGTTAAGGGTGGGAAGAGGTCCTTTCAAACTTGCAAGATTCTGTTAGTTTCCTCTTATAATAAAAGTAGTGTTAGGAATCGCAGTTAGTGCTTCTTGTGAAGCCAGGCTAAGATTTGCTGAGCAAATAACTGGTTAATCTGCTTATGAAATTGCATGATAAATTGGACCTAATATCTTGCATGAGTCAGAACTCAAGGAAATGTTTATGTTTGTTTATGTTTATTATATTTATATCCCGCCCTTCTCCTTGCGGACTCAGGGCGGCTAACAGCCAGATAAAACAACTACAAAAATACAAAATGCTACAATTAAAAACATAATTAAAAGACAATATTAACATTTGGCCAAATTAATTTAAAATTATTTTAAAACCCCGCTAAAAATTTCCCCTAGGCCAG